ATTTTAATAATTTTAATATTTTTAATAATTTTAATAATTTTAATAATTTTAATAATTTTAATTTTCCGGGAGCCTCTCAGGGCAGAAATTAATCATTTTAATAATTTAATAATTTTAATAATTTTAATAATTTTAATTTTCCGGGAGCCTCTCATGGCAGAAATTAATAATTTTAATAATTTTTAATAATTTAATAATTTTAATAATTTTAATTTTCCGGGAGCCTCTCAGGGCAGAAATTAATAATTTTAATAATTTTAATAATTTTAATTTTCCGGGAGCCTCTCAGGGCAGACATTAATAATTTTAATAATTTTAATAATTTTAATATTTTTTCTAATTTTAATTTGCAGGGAGCCTCTCAGGGCAGAAAATAATAATTTTAATAATTTTAATAATTTTAATAATTTTAATAATTTTAATAATTTTAATAATTTTAATAATTTTAATAATTTTAATTTTCCGGGAGCCTCTCAGGGCAGAAATTAATATTTTTAATAATTTTAATAATTTTAATTTTCCGGGAGCCTCTCAGGGCAGAAATTAATAATTTTAATAATTTTAATAATTTTAATATTTTTTCTAATTTGAATTTTCAGGGAGCCTCTCAGGGCATAATTTTAATAATTTTAATAATTTTAATAATTTTATTAATTTTAATAATTTTAATTTTCCGGGAGCCTCTCAGGGCAGAAATTAACAATTTTAATAATTTTAATAATTTTAATAATTTTAATAATTTTAATAATTTTAATAATTTTAATAATTTTAATAATTTTAATAATTTTAATAATTTTAATTTTCCGGGAGCCTGTCAGGGCAGAAATTAATAATTTTAATAATTTTAATATTTTTTCTAATTTTAATTTTGAGGGAGCCTCTCAGGGCAGACAATAATAACTTTAATAATTTTAATAATTTTAATAATTTTAATAATTTTAATTTTCCGGGAGCCTCTCAGGGCTTCCAGCGATTATCATTTTTGTTTTTGCCTTCAGAGGCTCCTGGGAACTTGAAATTACTAAAATGTTTAAATTATTACAATGATTCATTTCCTGCAAATTAAAACTAGTAGTTTTGACATTTGTAGCAATGTTAGCGCTTTTTGATGCTTTTGGCGCTTTTTGGAGCTTTTTGGTGCTTTTGGCGCTTTTGGCGCTTTTTGGAGTTTTTGGCGGTTTTTTGTGCAGATGCGCTCGACGCAGTGTCTTTCGAGAATACATTGCCAAAAAATGGTGCAGAAATGTAATCCTGATCTATTTTATCTTGCCTTCGGGCAGGACGAAACTCTCGCGGATTTGGAAATTGTCGTTTTAGTGTTGCCAGCACAAACCAGGAGTGTTGCCGCTTCCACGCTTTTTCCCTGGCCTTTGCTTCCGCGGAGTCGAGAAAAGTCCTCAGCAAAAGTACGGGTTCTGGGCTTTTGCTCTTCGCGGCATCAAAAAAATCGTAAGCAAAAGTACGGAGTTCTCTTCTCGCAGCAGCGTAAATTTGGGGCTGCGGTGGGAAGCAAAGGCCCCCCAAAATGAGGGTGCTCTTTTCTTCTGTTTTCTGTAGCAAAACCCACCTTAAAAGGACACCCACACCGGAGACCTCTATTTTTGGAAACCTGGAAGGAAAGGTGCTTCTTTGTCCACTCTCACCTTTCGTTCGTTCCCAACTCTGTTCCTGTAATTCAAATATAAAAAAAAATATATATATATATTAATGTGTACAAAAGGGCATCCAATATTTTTGTATAAAGTGTTTCCGGTGTCCTTTTCTTCCTTTTTCTGAAGCGAAACCCACCTTAAAGGGACACTCGCACCAGAGACTCCGATTTTGGAAGCTTGAAGGAAAAGAGCTCCCTTTTTCCACTGCTGCTTTCCTTTCGTTTTATTTCTTTGCGCAAGGGGAAATTACAGAAGGAATTGATGTTACATGTACCCAAAATGAGGGTGCTCTTTGCTTCTTTTGTCTGTAGGAAAACCCACCTCAAAAGGACACCCGCGCCGGAGACCTCTATTTTTGGAAACCTGGAAAGAAAGGTGCTTCTTTGTCCACTTTCACTTTTCGTTCGTTTCATTTTCTGTTCCTTTATTTTAAGTATAAAATGTATGAATGAATGCGTAAAAAAAGGTGTCCAAGATTTTGAGAGTGTTTCGGGTGTCCTTCTCTTCTTTTTTCTGTAGCGAAACCCACCTTAAAAGGACATTCGCGCCAGAGACTCCGATTTTGGAAACCTTGAAGGAAAGCAGGCCGAAGACCTAAGGTTTGAGAAGAAGATGATGCTCGGAGCAAGACTTGAACCCAAAATCTTAGGGACCAGGGCTTGCGATTTGACTCGTTGGAGCAAAACTTGAAGCCAAAGTCGTAGGGACCAGGGCTTGCGATTTGACTCTTTGGAGGAAAACTTGAATCCAAAATCTTAGGGACCAGGGCTTGCGATTTGACTCTTTGGAGGAAAGCTTGAACCCACAATCTTAGGGACCAGGGCTTGCGATTTGACTCTTTGGAGCAAAAAAAGACCCCATGAAACCTTGAAAGAACAGGTGCTTTTTTTGTCCACTCTCCCCTTTCGTTCGTTCCATTCTCTGTCCCGTTTAATTTAAATATAAAAATCTACTTTATTATTTAAGGAGGGGTGTCCAAGATTTTTTATAGTGTTCCGGGTGTCCCTTTTTTCTCCTTTTTTTGTAGCGAAACATTAAAAATACACCCACACCGGAGACCTCGATTTTTGGGAACCTGGGGGTGGCAGCTGGGCACGGCCGAAGCGTGCGTGTGAATGCTCGGTTAAGGTTTAAAATCAGACTTAGAGTTTAAGATGCAGGTCATCGAGTCCGACTACACAGTGCATGTGACGGAAAGGCTAGGCTTTGGGGGCTGAGGGTTTCGAGTTTCAGACGCATGTTGTGGAGAAAAAGAAGGGACACCCGGACCACTCTAAAAGTCTGGGACACCCCTCTTTACATAATAAATTAGATATTTCTACTTAAATTAAACAGAACAGAGAATGAAACGAACGAAAGGTGGGTGAGAGTGGACAAAGAAGCACCTTTTCGTTCAAGGTTTCGTGGGGTCTTTTTTTGCTCCAAAGAGTCAAATCGCAAGCCCTGGCCCTAAGATTGTGGGTTCAAGCTCTGCTCCAAAGAGCCAAATCGCAAGCCCTGGTCCCTAAGATTTTGGGGCTTAAATTTGATTAAACTTCTACCCCAAAACGTCAAATCGCAAGCCCTGCTCCCTAAGACTTTGGCTTCCCCAAAGACTCCGATTTTGGAAACCTTGAAGGAAAGGCGCTCGCTTTTTCCACTGCTGCCTTCCTTTCGTTTTATTTCTTTGTGCAAGAGGCAATAACAGAAGGACATGATGTTACATGTGCCAAAAAGTGAGGGTGCTCTTTTCTTCTGTTTGCTGTAGCAAAACCCACCTTAAAAGAACACCCACACCGGAGACCTCTATTTTTGGAAACCTGGAAGGAATGGTGCTTCTTTGTCCACTCTCACCTTTCGTTCGTTTCATTCTCTGTTCCTTTAATTTACGTATTAAAAACAATATATATATATATATATAAATGTGTACAAAAGGGTGTCCAAGATTTTGATATAGAGTGCTTCCGGTGTCCTTTTCCTCCTTTTTCTGAAGCGAAACCCACCTTCAAAGGACACCCGCACCAGAGACTCCGATTTTGGAAGCTTGAAGGAAAAGGGCTCCCTTTTTCCACTGGTCCTGCCTGTCGTTTTATTTCTTTGCGCAAAGGGAAATTACAGAAGGAAATGATGTTACATGTACCCAAAATGAGGGTGCTCTTTTCTTCTTTTTTCTGTAGGAAAACCCACCTTAAAAGGACACCCGCGCCGGAGACCTCTATTTTTGGAAACCTGGAAAGAAAGGTGCTTCTTTGTCCACTTTCACCTTTCGTTCGTTTCATTTTCTGTTCCTTTAATTTTAAGTATAAAATGTATGAATGAATGCGTAAAAAAGGTGTCCAAGATTTTGAGAGTGTTTCGGGTGTCCTTCTCTTCTTTTTTCTGTAGCGAAACCCACCTTAAAAGGACATTCGCGCCAGAGACTCCGATTTTGGAAACCTTGAAGGAAAGCAGGCCGAAGACCTAAGGTTTGAGAAGAAGATGATGCTCGGAGCAAGACTTGAACCCAAGATCTTAGGGACCAGGGCTTGCGATTTGACTCGTTGGAGCAAAACTTGAAGCCAAAGTCGTAGGGACCAGGGCTTGCGATTTGACTTTTTGGAGGAAAACTTGAATCCAAAATCTTAGGGACCAGGGCTTGCGATCTGGTTCTTTGGAGGAAAACTTGAACCCAAAATCTTAGGGACCAGGGCTTGCGATTTGTCTCTTTGGAGGAAAACTTGAACCCACAATCTTAGGGACCAGGGCTTGCGATTTGACTCGTTGGAGCAAAAAAAGACCCCATGAAACCTTGAAAGAACAGGTGCTTTTTTTGTCAACTCGTCCCTTTCGTTCGTTCCATTCTCTGTCCCGTTTAATTTAAGTATAAAAATCTACTTTATTATGTAAGGAGGGGTGTCCAAGATTTTTTTAGAGTGTTCCGGGTGTCCCTTTTTTCTCGTTTTTTTGTAGCGAAACATAAAAAATACACCCACACCGGAGACCTCGATTTTTGGAAACCTGGGGGTGGCAGATGGGCACGGCCGAAGCGTGCGTGTGAATGCTCGGTTAAGGTTTAAAATCAGACTTAGAGTTTAAGATGCAGGTCATCGAGTCCGACTATACAGTGCATGTGACTGAAAGGCTAGGCTTTGGGGCTGAGGGTTTCGAGTTTCAGACGCAGGTTGTGGAGAAAAAGAAGGGACACCCGGACCACTCTAAAAGTCTGGGACACCCCTCTTTACATAATAAATTAGATATTTCTACTTAAATTAAACAGTTAAACTTTTACCCCAAAACGTCAAATCGCAAGCCCTGCTCCCTAAGACTTTGGCTTCCCCAAAGACTCCGATTTTGGAAACCTTGAAGGAAAGGCGCTCGCTTTTTCCACTGCTGCCTTCCTTTCGTTTTATTTCTTTGTGCAAGAGGCAATAACAGAAGGACATGATGTTACATGTACCAAAAAGTGAGGGTGCTCTTTTCTTCTGTTTTCTGTAGCAAAACCCACCTTAAAAGAACACCCACACCGGAGACCTCTATTTTTGGAAACCTGGAAGGAATGGTGCTTCTTTGTCCACTCTCACCTTTCGTTCGTTTCATTCTCTGTTCCTTTAATTTACGTATAAAAACAATATATATATAAATGTGTACAAAAGGGTGTCCAAGATTTTGATATAGAGTGCTTCCGGTGTCCTTTTCCTCCTTTTTCTGAAGCGAAACCCACCTTCAAAGGACACCCGCACCAGAGACTCCGATTTTGGAAGCTTGAAGGAAAAGGGTCCTGCCTGTCGTTTTATTTCTTTGCGCAAAGGGAAATTACAGAAGGAAATGATGTTACATGTACCAAAAAGTGAGGGTGCTCTTTTCTTCTTTTTTCTGTAGGAAAACCCACCTTAAAAGGACAACCGCGCCGGAGACCTCTATTTTTGGGAAACCTGGAAAGAAAGGTGCTTCTTTGTCCACTTTCACTTTTCGTTCGTTTCATTTTCTGTTCCTTAAATTTAAGTATAAAATGTATGAATGAATGTGTAAAAAAGGGCGTCCAAAATTTTGAGAGTGTTTCGGGTGTCCTTCTCTTCCTTTTTCTGTAGCGAAACCCACCTTAAAAGGACATTCGCGCCAGAGACTCCGATTTTGGAAACCTTGAAGGAAAGCAGGCCGAAGACCTAAGGTTTGAGAAGAAGATGATGCTCGGAGCAAGACTTGAACCCAAAATCTTAGGGACCAGGGCTTGCGATTTGACTCGTTGGAGCAAAACTTGAAGCCAAAGTCGTAGGGACCAGGGCTTGCGATTTGACTGTTTGGAGGAAAACTTGAATCCAAAATCTTAGGGACCAGGGCTTGCGATTTGACTCTTTGGAGGAAAACTTGAATCCAAAATCTTAGGGACCAGGGCTTGCGATTTGGCTCTTTGGAGGAAAAAAAGACCCCATGAAACCTTGAAAGAACAGGTGCTTTTTTTGTCCACTCTCCCCTTTCGTTCGTTTCATTCTCTGTCCCGTTTAATTTAAGTATAAAAATCTACTTTATTATGTAAGGAGGGGTGTCCAAGATTTTTTTAGAGTGTTCCGGGTGTCCCTTTTTTCTCGTTTTTTTGTAGCGAAACATAAAAAATACACCCACACCGGAGACCTCGATTTTTGGAAACCTGGGGGTGGCAGATGGGCACGGCCGAAGCGTGCGTGTGAATGCTCGGTTAAGGTTTAAAATCAGACTTAGAGTTTAAGATGCAGGTCATCGAGTCCGATTATACAGCGAGTTTCAGATGCAGGTTGTGGAGTCTCAGATTGTGGGATGTTATTAACTAAACCTGCTTGACAATCACAAGCCCCAGCTTCTAAATAGACCCTATTTTGCTCAGCCACCCCCCCCCCCCCCCTCCCCCCCCCCCCTCCCCCCCCCCCCCTCCCCCCCCCCCTCCCTCCCCCCCCGCCCCCCCCCACCCCCCCCCCCTCCCACCTCCCCCAACCCCCCCCACCCCCCCCCCCCCACCCCCCCCCCCCCCCACCCACCCCCACCCACCCCCACCCCCCCCCACCCACCCCCACCCACCCCCACCCACCCCCCACCCCCACCCCCACCCACCCCCACCCCCCCCCCACCCACCCCCACCCCCACCCCCCCCACCCACCCCCCCCACCCCCACCCACCCCCCCCACCCCCCCACCCCCACCCCCGCCACCCCCAACCCTTTTTCTTGTAATGCTCATCTTTGTGTGATGCAATGCGGATTTTTAAGAACGAATTTGTTCTGTAGCCGTAGTCTTCGTTGAAAAGAACTTTTGTATGAAGATACTTTATATGGTTTCTTAATGTTATGGGATTCTCTCGGTGGGTGGGTGTTATATCCAAGCCGTAAATATAACACTAGCATAAAATTGCTCGATCCGAAGCTGCTGAACCCTAAACCCTAAACCCTAAACCCTAAACCCGAAACCCGAAACCCGAAACCCGAAACCCTAAACCCGAAACCCTAAACCCTAAACCCTAAGCCCTAAACCCTAAACCGCAAATGATTCAAGGACTGTAAGGGGGAACCTCCCAAGATCAGCCCCAGGAACCCGCTTGGCCTGGTGGACGAGATCTCGGCCATCGGCCTTCGCCATGTCGGCTATGGCGTGCCACGGCCAGCGGTCTTTCTGGATGTTCCAAGATGGGGTAGGGTTTAGGGTTTAGGGTTTAGGGTTTAGGGTTTAGGGTTTAGGGTTTAGGGTTTAGGGTTTAGGGTTTTGGGTTTTGGGTTTTGGGTTTTGGGTTTTGGGTTTTGGGTTTTGGGTTTAGGGTAATCCGCCGTCCGCCCTCAACTCTACTTGGAGTTTCATGAGTAGTCATAAGTAGGGTTACAAGTCCCCAGGTAGGTTTACCGGTTATCAGTGGAGTTACCATACTTCTAACCCGACTTACAGCGATGCATTGAACCTCCAAGCAAACCTTACACCCGAAATCAACCCTGAACCCTATACCCTGAACCCTTGGGCAAAAGGTGTTTGCCAAAAGTCCCAGGTGCCTACTGAGCTCTTCCCGCGCTATGTGGAAGCGTCGGTGAGTGTCCTCCGGACCATCACTACAGCGACTGAGATCATCGAGGCCTTTGGCTTGGGAGTTGGGGTTTGGGGTTCAGGGTTTCGGGTCTCCGCCCCGAAGCCCTGAACCCTAAACCCTAAACCCTAAACCCTATAAAGCCTCAATCCTGAACCCTGAACCCTAAACCCCGACTTTAATTCGGAGGGGTGGGCAGAAATATCTGTTGCGCAGTTCACGGGCTTGCCCCGCTTACTTGCATTGTGGTTCTACTTGGAGGTTCATGGTACTTATTAACCAATTATAACTGTACTTATAACCCTACTTATAATGATAACTGTACTTATAACCCTACTTATAAGACCCCAAAAGGGCCTTATAGGGGTTATCCCAATTATAAGTAGGGTTATATGCCCAGTTATAAGTGGTTAGTAAGTACCATGAACCTCCAAGTAAGGGTGCGTGTGTGTGTGTGTGTGCGCGCGTCTATGAGTAACACCCTGTTGTCGGCCATCAAATGTTTTAAGTGTCTCGGGGCCATGTGATATAGCCAGTGTCAGTCCTAAAAAACAAGTGAAATGCAGGGGGCCCAGACAGCGCCGATGAGGTCCGGGCCAGAAGAAGACCCGTGAAAACGTACTTGAATCGCTTGTTTGAGTCGGGCGTTTTCAAATCGAATGTTCGTTTCAGAAAGGGTTTAGGGTTTAGGGTTTAGGGTTTAGGGTTTATAGGGTTGAGGGTTTAGGGTTTAGGGTTCAGAACCCGTACTCCTGCGAACTGGCGTGTTTGGCGGGCGTTTTTGAAAGCCTTGCGGTTTTGAGATGCACGAACACACAGCCGGGCACGAACGTTCACGCCGCCTGTGCGCAAACATACATCTCATGTACTTCCACTTGAATGGTTGATGAGAATCCGCGTTATGAGATTCTGCCTTCTCCCAGTCCGGCAGGAAGACTCCAAAAAGTGTGCTGTGTGTCACGCACGCGCACACGCGTAGGCACACGCACACGCACACGCACAGGCACAGGCACAGGCACTCGCACAGGCAGACGCCAGCGCGCTCACGCGCACGCCCAGACGCTCTCGCACAGGCACACGCACCCGCACACGCACCCGCACCCGCACGAGCACGCACATGCACACCCACACACATCCACACACATCCACACACACACACAGACACACAGACACACACCACCCACGGACCACCCACGCACGCACGCACGCACCCACCCACCCACCTATCACCCACCCCACCTACGCCCGCACGCCTGCACGCCTGCACGCCCGCACGCCCGCACGCCCGCACGCCCGCACGCCCGCACGCCCACACGCCCGCACACCCGCACGCCCGCACGCCCGCACACCCGCACTTCAGGGGTCCAGATATCTACGGACAATGAGAAGCACAGAACCCTAAACATCAGGAACCAACTCGGAAATGCAGGTACACGTCCTAAGATCCCAAGTCGCTGTGAAACAGGGATGGACACAGACACACACACGCACACAAAGAAACGAAACGCTATACCGGCTGTACCCTAAACCTTAGCCCTAAACCCTAAACCCTAAACCCTAACCCTAAGCCCTAAGCCCCAAACAACCCTGAGGGCCCTAAAGCGGTTGCAGGCCTATCGATGGGCGCTGGGTCTCATCGCCAAGATCACTGCACGGGTAGTGCATCAGGGTGCGGGGACCCAGCTCCCGGGGTTGTAATTCCCAGGGTTGTGTTCTAATATTAAAGACCTCCAGTATAGTTATGTTATAGTACTTGGGGGGGGTATCTAATTTTCGGGGGTCGGGGGGGGGGGGGGCTTATGAGCGGGAGGGGGGTAGCGCTGAGCGTTCATTGGTTTAGGTCTGAGGCTTGAGGGGTGTAGAGGTTTAAGGGTCTACGGTTTTCAGGTTTAGGGGTTTGTGGCTCTACAGTCGCGGTTTAAGGATCCTGCTAGGGTTCATGGTTGTTTTTTCGGTGCCCCTGAGTGCACATGAGCTCCTTCGCTCGGGCTCTCTGTGTGGGTGTGTGTGTGTGTGTGTGTGTGTGTGTGTGCGTGTGTGCGCGTGTTGTCTTCGGTTTCAAGGCTTTAGGGTCCGGAGTTTTAGAGGCGTGTAGGGCTTTACAGTTTAGGGGGTCTGTTGGGACAGGACTATTCACGAATCTGCCAAGCTCGTTATCTACGGAGGTATCCGGGTTGCGTGGAAAGCCTTCCACCTTGATAATCCCAAGTTTCGTAGGTTTGCTGAAGATCCTTATACTTGGAGGTTCATGGGACTTAATAACCACTTATCAATGTACTCATAACCCTACTTATAATTGGGATAACCCCTATAAGGCCCTTTTGGGGTATTATAAGTAGGGTTATAAGTACACGTATAAGTGGTTAGTAGGTACCATGAACCTTCAAGTAACCCTATGTCCCAAAACCCTAAGCCCCAGCCGCGCACCTCCTGGACGTGTCGGGTCACTGGGGCCCAGAGTAGGCCCCTATTCCCTTGTTCTAGGGTACAGGTTCCGCTACAAGCCCCCTCTAACCTAAAAGGGCACCCCTGTTCATTCCTAGGTTCCTCTTGCGTCGAGAGTAGCTTTTGAGTTTGAGCTGCTGCGCGGGCACGAGGCCCGAGCCCCGCACTCCCAAAGTAACTCAAGGCGCTTACCAGAGAGCCACACAACTGAAAGTTCCTACGCTCATGAATAGGATGTAGGGTTTGGGATTAAGGCCCCAACAAGCTGGGGATTCTTCTTATGCGTTATGCCTTATTTCTTAAACGGTATTGGGGTTTCTTGTCATGAGTCAAGGCCCACTGTACTCCATAGTTAAGTCCTAGGTGGGATAAGGGGGCCCCTTGCAAGGGAACCCCTTCTTAACCCTCTTCTGGCTCTTAACAAGGGACCTTATTCAGAGGGTCTATATCCCCAAGGGTCCCCCTAATCCTAAACCCTAAACCCTAAACCCTAAACCCTAAACCCTAAACCCTAAACCCCAAACCCTGAACCCTGAACCCTGAACCCTAAATCCTATCCCCTATTAAGGGCCTTGAGAAACCCTAAAACCTTACAGGCTGAAACCCAAAACTTGAGAATGCCAAACTACAAAGTTCCTTCCGAACTCCGAAGCTCCAAGCTAAACCCTAAACCCAAAACCCAAAACCCAAAACCCAAAACCCAAAACCCAAAACCCAAAACCCAAAACCCTAAACCCTAAACCCTAAACCCTAAACCCTAAACCCTAAACCCTAAACGCTAAACCCTAAACCCTAAACCCTAAACCCTAAACCCTAAACCCTAAACCCTAAACCCTAAACCCTAAACCCTAAACCCTAAACCCTAAACCCTAAACCCTAAACCCTAAACCCTAAACCCTACACTGCAGCATTTGCAGGGTCTACCATTGTCATGAAAGCCATCAATACCAACGAGAAGCTGGCGTTGAAGAAGGTGCTGCCCCCTCGAGGGGGCGCTAGGGTTTCGGGTTTAGGGCCTCAGCGTAAGTGTTGAGGGGTGCATGTCCCAAAAATAGGGGTACCACCAATGTACCCTCAAAATACTACGATCCTTCGTATAGGAACCTCCCACAAAAATCTCCCAACAAGGGCCCGCTAAACCCAAAGTTTCGGGACACCCCCGTTTTTGCTCTCAAGATTCTATTCCAGGTCTGGTTTTCAGACCAGTCGCGATACAGGGTTTTGCATGTACGCATGTACTTGTAGGGTTACCCTAAACCCGAAACCCGAAACCCGAAACCCTAAGCCTAAACCCTAAACCCTAACCCTTAAACCCTAAACCCTAAACCCTAAACCCTAAACCCTAAACCCTAAACCCTAAACCCTAAACCCTAAAACCCTAACCCCTAACCCCTAACCCCTAAACCCTAAACCCTAAACCCTAAACTTTAGAAGTCCTACCCAAACCAGGCCATCTCTGTGTCGCCTCGCGTGGAGCGAGCAAAGCAGCTCCTGGAAATTACAGCCGGCGCCTCTGACATTCTTCCCCTGGTTCTTAGTAGGGAATGAAGGAATTGGGGCCCCATATATACCGCTTAAGGGACTATACAGGGTACCTCATTCCCTCATTCCCCAAGAACCAGACAGTTCTTCCCAGCATCTGCAACGACTCTTCAGAGAGCTTTTTAGTACCCTGTGACCCAGGACTCCAATATCCCTTAGTTGAGGAATATTCCTTAGGCTACCATAGGTTCCTTAGATGGTTTAAGGAATTTTCCTTAAGTAAGGGGTATTGGAGTCTCTGGGGACGAAAGAAGAGTATCTTAGCTCATACCAAGAAGTCCTATACAAGCAAAGGCATGCTGCTCTAGTACTTGGAGGTTCATGGGACTTAATAACCACTTAATAACTGGGCTTATAACCCTTATAATTGGGCTAACCCCTATGAGGCCCTTTAGGGGTATTATGAGTGGGTTTAGGGTTTAGGGTTTAGGGTTTAGGGTTTAGGGTTTAGGGTTTAGGGTTTAGGGTTTAGGGGTACTATGAGTGGGGTGATAGGTGCAGTTCTACTTGGCTCCTAAGTACCATGAACCTCCCAGGGCTCGCCTTGGGCCCTAGGGCTTGCGCTCGTCTTCTGAGAGGCTCACGGGTCTTCCTTAGGGATGTTCCCCCCTGTTCCTAACAGACCCTGAATAGGGTTTAGGGTTTAGGGTTTAGGGTTTAGGGTTTAGGGTTTAGGGTTTAGGGTTTTACCAGCCCCCCCTATTTCGAGTTCCTAATAAGCAGCTCTTGGTATACCTTTTCGTATAGGGGGGGAACATCCCGAGTGTTCCTAGAGCCGACCTGCTACTGAGGTTGGCACACAGTCCATTTCGCCCCTGTATTGGGCCATCGAGTCGGGCTCTCTGCTGTGTGCGGAGGCAATGATCGAGGAGCCTTCCCAGAGCCGCCTTACCATCTGGGGGTTTCCGAAATTCGGGGGGTACCTTGTTGGGGTCCCTGTTGTGATGGAATCCGACTTTTTGGGGTCCATATCTGGGGTCCCTAATTTTCGGAAACTCCCGTATCTTGGGTGTTCGAGTCTGGGTAGCTGCCTCACATGCACAGGGAGGTGCTCCAAACGAAGTCTAAACATCCAGAGATCCGTAGAGTGCAGCGCGAGTTCTTAGTGGGCCTGTAGATGATTTTATGTATTGGAGGGCTTGTGGTCCAGGACCTGATGACTATTCGTGCTGATCGCGACGTTTACTACTTCGGATTTGATGCGCTCTTCACGAGGCACCGGGATGTTATCAACAAGCTCTGCATGAGCGACCTGGCGGAAATCTTCGCCCTTCGTTCTGCCAAAAAGTCAGCCTACGACCCCAGTCCCTAAAATCCCGACACCCAAAAAGACCCTAAATTACCCTATTACCCTAGTTCCTTGAAACCTAAACTCTAAACCCTAAACCCTAGACCCCCCACCCCCCAACCCTCAACCCCATAAACCCTAAACCCTAATTACACCCTAACCCCAAAAACCCTAAACCCTAAACCCTAAACCCAAACCGGTTGAGGGTTTTAGGGTTGGGGGTTTAGGGTTTAGGGATTTAGGCTTTTCGGGTTTAGGGTTCTACAGGGGCTTCGGGTTATTGTTTTAGGGTTCACAAGGCTTTTAGGGTTTTTAGGTGTCTTAAGTTATTAAGACCCCAAACCCTAAACCCTAAACCCTAAACCCTAAACCCTAAACCCTAAACCCTAAACCCTAAACCCTAAACCCTAAACCCTAAACCCTAAACCCTAAACCCTAAACCCTAAACCCTAAACCCTAAACCCCAATGAGGCGCGCCCTTCCTGCTCAACACCCTGCTGGATGGCCTCGTCTGGCGTTCCAGGCTCACGAGCCGGGGCTTGCGGCGCGCGGCTTGGTCTGGAGGTTTAGGGTTTAGGGTTTAGGGTTTAGGGTTTAGGGTTTAGGGTTTAGGGTCAAATTATGATTATGACGATGGTTATGATGGTCATAAGTCCTATACTATTCTCCTCATATATATATATATGTGTATATATAGATACATATGTGTTGTATGCATATATATATATATATATGTTATGCCTCTCTCTCTCTCTCGTTTTTTACTCTCAATGTCTTAGTTTCGGCTTGTGGCTTGCATAACCATACCCCCCTTGGAAGGGCAGGTGAGGGCTGTTTTCCTTGCCGAAGCACACTTTAAACACAAAAGCCGTCCACCCTTTAGAGCTCCCAATCTGCAGAAGTGCTCAGGGTAAGCAGGGTTTCGGGTTTAGGGTTTAGGGTTTAGGGTGTAGGGTGTAGGGTGTAGGGTTTAGGGTGTAGGTTTGGGGTTACGGTTTAGGGTACTCAAGCCTCAGGTGAACTACTATGTGAAGTACTTGGTGCAGGACCCGGGTTCTCGTGGCTCACGCGATCTTCCGAGATGGGCTCGTGGGTTTGGGGCTTGCTAGAGTTCGCGATCCGAAAGCTCTTGACAACAGCCCTAAACGCTAAACCCTAAACCCTAAACCCTAAACCCTAAACCCTAAACCCTAAACCCTAAACCCTAAACCCTAAACCCTAAACCCTAAACCCTAAACCCTAAACCTCTCTTTCATATATAGTTTAAATGTTAAGGAGTTACTGGGCAAGGTCATTTTTTTTACTGGGCAAGGTCATCTTTTTACTGGGCAAGGTCATTTTTTTACTGGGCAAGGTCATTTTTTTACTGGGCAAGGTCGTTTCGTCCAAAAAAACGACCTTGCCCAGTAAAAAATGACCTTGCCCAGTAAAAAAATGACCTTGCCCAGTAAAAATGTTACTGGGCAAGGTCATCTTTTTACTGGGCAAGGTCATCTTTTTACTGGGCAAGGTCATTTTTTTACTGGGCAAGGTCATTTTTTTACTGGGCAAGGTCATTTTTTTACTGGGCAAGGTCATTACTGGGCAAGGTCATTTTTTTACTGGGCAAGGTAATTTTTTACTGGGCAAGGTCATTTTTTTATTGGGCAAGGTCATTTTTTTACTGGGCAAGGTCATTTTTTTACTGGGCAAGGTCATTTTTTTACTGGGCAAGGTCATTTTTTTACTGGGCAAGGTCATTTCTTTACTGGGCAAGGTCATTTTTTACTGGGCAAAGTCATTACTGGGCAAGGTCCTTTTTTTATTGGGCAAGGTCATTTTTTTACTGGGCAAGGTCATTTTTTTCTGGGCAAGGTCATTTTTTTACTGGGCAAGGTCATTTTTTTACTTGGCAAGGTCATTTTTTTACTGGGCAAGGTCATTTTTTTATTGGGCAAGGTCATGTTTTTACTGGGCAAGGTCATTTTTTTACTGGGCAAGGTCGTTCCATAAGTGAAATATTTTCATAATGTTGTGGGATTCTTCGGGCGGGTGGGTGTTTTTCTGGAGTAATTTCTTGACAAGAGAATGCTTGGACCTGAGATGCTGAACCCTAAACCCTAAACCCTAAACCCTAAACCCTAAACCCTAAACCCTAAACCCTAAACCCTAAACCCTAAACCCTAAACCCTAAACCCTAAACCCTAAACCCTAAACCCTAAACCCTAAACCTAACCCTAAACCCTAAACCCTAAACCCTAAACCCTAAACCCTAAACCCTAAACCCTAAACCCTAAACCCTAAACCCTAAACCCTAAACCCTAAACCCTAAACCCTAAACCCTAAACCCTAAACCCTAAACCCTAAACCCTGACTGCCGAGAGCGCCGCTGTCCATTTACATGGGCGCTCGAGGCTTCGACGGAGGTCCCCGACCGAGCGTCTCCACAGAACGGTGTGGGAGGGTAAAGCCTCCCGGTAGACGGGGCCTGCAGTGCCTGGCTACGTCTCAAACCTAGGGCGTAAGCCCTAACAAATAGTGCACCATTTCAGGCATTCTGGTCTTTTTGATTCCAGGGGCCCCCCCCCCCCCCCCCCCCCTTTCTGGGCCAGGACGGCCCTGGGAGTCTGGCACCCCGGACCTCCCTGCCTGGGCTGGAAATTTGCTGCTGCAAGGCTTTGGTTTGTCTGAGGATCCCTTAGGACCCCCCTCAGCTTCCAGACCCTCCTGAGTGGCTGGACGCTGAAGCCCCGCGATCCAGTTTTTTTGTATTGCAATCGACGGTTTTGGGCACCTCCGTGAAAGCTCCAAGAAGCCTACGAGCCACTGACAGGCTCCGCAAAGCTCGGGAGGCCCTACCCTGCTCTTTCTCTGTAAAAAGCAAGAAAGCCCAACCCTAAACCCGAAATGAGAATAGTTTGCGGGCTACATGCTAACGCAAGCGAGCGGCCCGGGTGCTTCTAGCACCAGCGAGCTTCCCTTCTATACACCCTAAACCCTAAGCCCTGAACCCTAAACCCTAGATTCCCACCCAGGCCACCCTTTTCTAGGGTGCCTGGACAGAACTACACCCCACGGCCAGCTGCCCCGCCTGGGGCACCCCCGCCTCCCTTCTCCGATTCTCATGAAGAATCCACTGATTCCAACCGCAGAAGATTCAGCCGTGCGTTTCCCAACCGTTCGAAGCCACGAGAACGCTACTGGCGCCTCCTACAGAACTCCGACGCCCGCATAGATCAGAACCAGAAAGCAAGTCGATCGATGCCGCTCTTTGTAGAAAACCTCAATTCAGGTGTCTTAAAACCCTTTTTGGCGGAAGAGTGGCTGCAGAACCCTTGGCCGCGCCGGCGTTGGGCGCCGGGGCAGTGAGCACGGAGCAGCACACAGGCCTGTCCTGGCAGCTTCATTCTGCCATCTTGGAGGTAGTTGCGGTTCTTGCCATCTGCGTGCGGATGCTTGGCACCCTAAACCTGGCAGCCTGTGCAGGGGTGCGCCTGGGCCCCCCCCCTTCTGCCCCCCCCCACCCCCTCCCCTTCGGCCCCTCCTGACCGACTGGCCCCGACCGCTTTCCCGCTCAAAGGACGGGGGTGGGAAGTGGGAACTTAGGGCGTTAGCCCGAAACCCTAAAAGGAGAAAGGTTGGGTGGATGCCTGTGTAAGCAGGGGGTGGGAAAAATCGAACAACCCAAGCTTCTTTTCTGTTGCTCCAACTTCAATGTTGGGGCGCCACCTCCGCATGAAATTTACTGCCACGGCGCGGCGAGAAGCCCTAAACCATAAACCATAAACCCTAAACCCTAAACCCTTAAACCCTAAACTCTAAACCCTAGATTTAAGAGCCTCCGGCTCAAGCCGCCGACCCCGCTGGAGCATAGTTGAAAGGTTTAAACGCGCTCGTCAGCTCAAAGGATGCCAAAAGTTGATTTGCTTGAGCCTCTGTGAAACCTTGGGGGGGTGGGGGGTAGGGGGTAGCACCAGGACCCAAACAGGAGCTGAAGCCAGCTTGAACCATCAATTCAAAGCCCAACAACCGGAGAGGGGGGGGGGCGGGGTTTTCCCAAAGGGCCCCTATGTCCTGTGCGAAACTGAGTTTATGCGGTGTGGGTGGCCTGGCCCTCCATGAAAAGCTGCCCAGGTACCCCCCCCCACCCCCCCCTCCCCCCCCCCCCCCCGCCGCGTTTTGGGGGGGTAAGGAGGGAAAGAGGGAGGTTTTCACCTCCTTTTCCCATCCAACACACCGCCAGGCTCGGCGGACCCTAAACCCTAAACCCTAAACCCTAAACCCTAAACCCTAAACCCTAGACCCTAGACCCTAGACCCTAGACCCTTCACCCTAACCCCTAACCCCTAAACCCTAAACCCTCCCCTGCGAGGAGCTGGATGGCAGCCCCAGCCAAGCGCTGCAGTGGCTTGTGGAGTACAACGACCCCAAGGCTCCTGCTGCCAACGAACTGTGGTTCAGGGATTTTGGGCATTCTCTTTGAGTAGGGTTTAGGGTTTAGGGTTTAGGGTTTAGGGTTTAGGGTTTAGGGTTTAGGGTTTAGGGTTTAGGGTTTAGGGTTTAGGGTTTAGGGTTCAGGGTTTAGGGTTTAGGGTTTAGGGTTTAGGGTTTACGGTTCAGGGTTTAGGGTTTAGGGTGTAGTATCATTTGTAATTATCCCGGCCCCTATATTAGGCTGCTTGTGAAGGTCATCCGCCACGATGCCGTGTCGCTGGTGTCAGATGTGATGTGGGCCCGCTTTGCGCAGTACAGGTTCATAGCGGGACGCCTGGATGGTTTAAGGTTTAGGGTTTGGGGTTTAGGGTTTAGGGTTTCGGGCTTAAGGTTTAGGGTTGAAGGTACGCTAAGCCCTACTTGGGGGGCTCATGGGTAGCTGAAGGAGGGCTCTTCGTACCATAAATAGGGTTAGTTACGAGTATAGTTGCCACGGGCGCTTCGTGACTTCGGCAACTTTCGCAAAGGTCTGCACCAGAGGGGATAGGGCTTCGGGGCTATAGGGTTTAGGGTTTTGGGTTTTGGGTTTAGGGTTTAAGGTGTGTTTTATGGCGGTTCAAGAGTCAGGTCTTAGGGTTTCGGGCCTAGGGGTGAAGGAATTCGGGGCGATTTTTGGGGTGGGGGTTATGGTTCGGGGCCCAGGGCTTTACGCATAACCCTGCTTGCAACTACCATGAACCTCCAAGCTAAACCCTAAACCCTAAACCCTAAACTCTAAACTCTAAACTCTAAACCCTAAACCCTAAACCCTAAACCCTAAACCCTAAACCCTAAACCCTAAACCCTAAACCCTAAACCCTAAACCCTCAACCCTCAACCCTAAACCCTACTTGTAGCTACCCATGAACCTCCAAGTAAGCCCCAAGCCCTAAACCCTTAACCGCCCGTCCAAATAAAACTGGGCCTGAAGCTCTTCTTGAGCTTGGACCCTAATTTAGGGTTTGGGGTTTGTGTTTAGGGTTTGGGGTTTAGGGTTTAGGGTAGACCCTAAACCCTAAACCCCAAACCCCAAACCCCAACCCCCAAACCCCGAATCTCAAACCCCGGCCCTCCGCATCCGAAAGAGCCGAGGACGGCTCTACCTGCTGGTCGCCGTGCTCTTGTTCCTTACTGTTGGTTAGCAGGGAATGAGGGAATAAGGGACCTATACAACGCCCTTTAAGGGATTCTGTAGGGCCTTGTATATACCCTTTAAGGGGTTATATAGGGCCCGATATATACCCTTTAAGGGATTATGTAGGGTACCTCATTGCCCCATTCTTTACCTAGCCAACAGTAAGGTTCGTCACCAGCCAGTCCATTCTCTTCCGTCGCGACGGGAAGGACAGCTTGGAGGAGAACCGGGGGAGGTTTTGGGGCCAAACAGGAGGGTTTAGGGTTTAGGGTTTAGGGCTTAGGGTTGCGGGTTGAGAGTTTAGGGTTTAGGGTTTAGGGCTTAGGGTTTGGACGGCAAAGCCCTAAACCCGAAGCCCCTACTTGAAGGTTCATGGTACTTACTAACCACTTATCAATGTATTTATAACCCTACTTATAATTGGGACAACCCCTATAAGGCCCTTTAGGGGTATTATCAGTAGGGTTATAAGTACAGTTACAATTGGTTAGTAGGTACCATGAACCTTCAAGTAATCCCTTCTGGAAACATGCCACAAAGCGTGGGGGTTCGGGTGCCTCTGGGTTGCTCACAGCACTGTCTGTGGAGAAGGGCTTCGGGCTTCGGGCTTCGGGCTTCGGGCTTCGGGTTTAGGGTTTAGATCGCCCTGCGCGCCCAGAGTAGAGCAGGTTTGTGGCGCTCGCGGGCGTTCTTTTCGCACGAGTTCTTCGTCGGGAATGCGGGAATTTGGTACCCTGTATTCTCCAGGGTATATAGGTTTAGGGTTCAGGGTTCAGGGTTTAGGGTTTAGGTGATATAAAGTCCCTTCTTCCAAAAGAAGCTGGCCTAGTAGCTTCTCGCAGCGTCAAGGGACGACCTCTTTCGGCCTGCCATCTTGTTGTGTGTCGCTGTCCCGGAGGAGCCCCATGACCCAACAGCCAGGTAAAAGGGAGACAAGGAGGGACTCTTATAAGGGACCTTAGGGGTTCTATACGGGTTGTTTAGGGGGCTACTTTGGTATGTAGGGGCTATATAGGTCTATGGAAGGTGTGGTTTTTCTAACGTTAAAAAACACCCAAAACGGGATTGAAGGAGGGACCCTTACAAGGGACCTTACTTATTTAGGGCTACTTTGGTATGTAGGGGCGATGTAAGGTATGTATACTTGGAGGTCCAGGGTACTTGTAAGCCTAGTTACAACTGTACTTATAAGCCCCCTAAGTCCCCTGAGTAGGTTCTAAGTAGACTTATAACTGTGGTTATAAGTACCCATGAACCTCCAAGTAGGATTATATAGGGGAAGAAAATGAAGGGTCCCTTCTCGGGGTCCCAGCGCATACCCCCTAGCAGTTTCTTTGGAAGCATGGCTGCGCCTTTTTCTCTGTTATGAGCCTGGGTTTAGGGTTTAGGGTTTAGGGTTATTCTGCTCTTCTTCCTTCCTTAGCGCCTGTCGCTCAAAAACCCAAGCCAAAAACCAATGTATGTCGCAAAGCATGCACAACCCGAATCCCCAACCCCTAAAAACCCTAAAGCCCGAAGACCCTACCATCAAAAGCCAGAGGAGAACGTGGTGGTCCTGCTCTGCCGGGCTTTGATCTACACGTTGAGCCTAGGGGCTCTCCTGAAAAACCACCTCAAGAACCTGGGACGTGGGCTTTGAGTTTAGGGTTTGTGGTTTAGGGTTTAGGGTTTGGGGTTTAGGGTTTAGGGTTCAGGGTTTGGGGTTTCGGGTTTGGGAATTGTAGGACTATCAAGTAGGATGACCTCAAATTAGGGTATTTCTTTAGGGTTGCTGAATGAATCTACCTTGCACCTACTTACGAAGTCCACCGATGCCCGAGTAGAAACCCCTAAACGCTAAACCCCTAAACCCCAAGCCCTAAACCCTAAGCCCTAAACCCTAAGCCCTAAACCCTACCTAAACCCTAAACCCTAAACCCTAAACCCTAAACCCTAAACCCTAAACCCTAAACCCTAAACCCTGAACCCTGAACCCTAAACCCTAAGCCCTAAACCCTAAACCCTAAACCCTAAACCCTAAGCCCTAAACCCTAAACCCTAAACCCTAAACCCTAAACTCTAAACCCCTGATTGAGGGGTCTTAGGCCCCCGTGGGCTGAGGAGCCTGGCAGCGGACTGCTCCCAAAAGGACTTCGTCCGCCCGCCGGCGGCAAGGCCCTGAACTCGCCCTCAGAACCTATGAGCCCCTTTGTAGGGCCTAGGGTGTAGGGGGGTTTAGGGTTTAGGGTTTAGGGTTTAGGGTTTAGGGCTTAGGGCTTAGGGCTTAGGGCTACTTGGAGGAACCTATAAGCCCCGGCTCTCTGAAAAATCTTGTCGGTCTAGGGTCCTAAGCCTTTGAAACCCCTAAACCCCTACACTACACCCCTGAACTCTGAACCCTGAACCCTAAACCCTGGATCCTAAACCCTAAACCCTAAACCCTAAACCCTAAACCCTAAACCCTAAACCCTAAACCCTAAACCCTAAAACTCCGGAACCCCTAAGCCCCGAACCCCCGAAGCCCCCTAAAGCCCGCTCAGCTTTGCGTCGAGGCTTCTGAGAGTGAGCGCTTCGGTTCCCCAGTGACCCCAAGATCTTTGATGAGGGAATTGGGGCCCCAAAACCCAGAGCCCAAAACCCTAAAAAACCCTAAAACCCTAAACCCTCAAAAACCCTAAACCCTAAACCCTAAACCCTAGTGTTATCGGGGATTAGGATTTCGGGGTTTTAGGGGTCTAGGGTTGAGGCTTCACCCTCAACCCCCTTGGGGTCCATGCCATCTTCGGCTCTCGGGTCCGAGGTGTATGTGGCCTGCCGCTGCCGCAGTACCTTTGCCACCCGCGCGAGCTTAGCTCGATGGCGCTGGTGTGCGTGCTGCTGACGATGTGCCCGGGCCACGCCCAGGGGGGGTTTATTTGAAGGTTCAGGGGGTAGTTCTCAGTTGTTCGAAGTATGGTAGTTTTTTCTTATTGCCCCATTTTGGGTACTTAGAACCCTACGTACTTAAAATACCCTAAACCCTAAACCCTAAACCCTAAACCCTAACCCTAAACCCTAAACCCTAAACCCCAAACCCTAAACCCTAAACCCTAAACCTAAACCCTAAACCCTAAACCCTAAACCCTAAACCCTAAACAGGTTTGTCGTTTAGGGTTTGGCCCCCGTAGCCTGCCATGGCTTGCTAGTTCTTCGTAAGGAGAAAAGGGAATTGGTAGCCTTAAATCCCCCTTGCTTTTACCCTTCAGCGACAAGGGTTTAAGGGTTAAGGGTTTAGGGTTTTAATTAGTTTCAATTAATTTTAATTAATTTTAATTAATTTTAATTAATTTTAATTAATTTTAATTAATGTTAATTAATTTTAATTTTTATTAATTTTAATTAATTTTAATTAATTTTAATTGATTTTAATTGATTTTAATTTATTGTAATTCATTTTAATTCATTTAATTTTTTTCATTTTAAATAATTTTAATTTTTTAATTTTTTAATTATTTAATTCATTTTTTTATTTTTTGCATTTTTTTTAATTTCATTTTAATGAATTTTAATTCATTTTAACTAATTTTAATTAATTTTAATTAATTAATTAATTTTAATTTTTTAAATTTTTTATTTTAATTAATTTTAGTTAATTTTAATTAATTTTAATTAATTCTAATTAATTTTTAGTTAATTTTAATCAATTAATTAAATCAATTTTAATTGATTTTTTAATTTTTTAAATTGAAAATTATTTTCATTCATTTTAATTAATTTTTTTTTTATTAATTTTAATTGATTTTAATTAAATTTCAATTAATTTTAACTAATTTTAAATATTTTTAATCAATTTTAATTAATTTTAGTTAATTTTTAATTTTCATTAATTTTAATTTAATTGATTTTAATAATTCTAATTATTTTAATTAATTTTTAATTCATTTTAATTCATTTTAATTCATTTAATTCATTTTATTCATTTTAATTTTAATTCATTTTAATTCAAACATTTTAATTCTTTTCATTCGTTTTAATTCCTATTAATTTATTTTATTTATTTTAATTCATTTAATTACTTTTAATTAATTGAACTAATTTAAATTATATAAATTAATTAAAATTAATTTTAATTAATTTATTCCTTTTTATTAATTTTAATAAATTTTAATTTTAATTTTTTAGTTTTAATTAATTTTAATTAATATTTTAATATTTAATTCTTTTTCATTTTTTTAATAATTTTAATTGATTTTAATTCATTTTTCATTTAATTAATTTTTAAATAATTTTAATTATTTTAATTATTTTAATTATTTCGATTGATTTTAATTAATTTCATAATTTTTAATTAAATTCACTTAATTTCACTTAATTTTAATTTAATTTTTATGTCATTTTAATAATTTAATTCTTTTAATTAATTAATTATTTTAATTCATTTTTTAAAATTTTTTTCATTCATTTTCGTTCATTTTAATTCATTTTAATTCTTTTAATTATTTTAATTCATTTTATTCATTTTAATTCATTTTAATCATTTTAATTCATTTTTTTTTTTTTATTCATTTTAATTCATTTTAATTTATTTTTTAATTTTTAATTGATTTCAATTAATTGTAATTTTTAATTGATTTTAATTAATTTTAATTAATTTAAATTAATTTGAATTAATTTTAATTAATTTTACTTAATTTTATTTTAATTTTAATTAATTTTAATTAATTTTAATTAATTTCTTTAATTAATTTTAATAATTTTAATTAATTTTAATTAATTTTAGTTAATTTTAATTTTAATTTTAATTAATTTAATTAAAGAAAAAATTTAAATAATTTTAATTGATTTTCATTGATTTTAATTAATTTAACTAATTAATTTAATTGATTTTATTAATTTTTTTTTTAATTAATTTATTGAATTTTTAATTTAATTGTGATTTTAATTTTTAATTAATTTTAATTATTTTTTAATTTTAATTAATTTTAATTAATTTTAATTATTTATTATTTTAATTAATTTTAATTAATTTAATTTTTAATTTTTTTAATTATTTAATTAATTTTTAATTAGTTTTTAATTATTTTAATTAATTTTAATTAATTTTAATTTTTTTTTAAATGAATTTTAATTAATTTTACTTAATTAATTGGTTTTAAATTGAAATTATTTTAAATTTTAATTATTTTTAATTGATTTAATTGTTTTTAATAATTTTTAATTCATATTTTAATTAAAATTAATTAAAATTAATTTTAAATTAATTTTAATTAATTTTTTAATTAATTTTAATTAATTGTAACTAATTTTAATTCATTTTGCTTCATTTTTAATTCATTTTAATTCATTTTAATTCATTTTAATTCATTTTCATTCATTTTCATTCATTTTCATTCATTTTCATTCATGTTAACTAATTTTAATTAATTTTAATTAATATTAAGCAATTAAAATTAATGTTAATTACTTTTAATTACTTTTAATTAATTTTAATTAATTTTGATTTTGATTAATTTTTATTAATTTTAAATAATTTTAATTGATTTTTAAATTAATTTCGGGTTTAGGGTTTAGGGTTTAGGGTTTAGGGGTGTATTTCCTGAATTCTCCGATGAGAGGCAAGATGTCAGACGCAAGAGGGGTGCCACTTAGGTGAGTTTACGTGCCTTAATTCGAAAGAAGTCCATGGCTTACATTCCCCTAAACCCTAAGCACCCCAAACCCTAAACCCTATTTGGAATTGCGTGGAATATACAGTACGAATTCGAAGCAGGGATCCGGGACATAGTCTTGACAGGTGTCTTCCTCAACTGAGGCTTCTTGGGGCCTCAGCCCCTAAAACCTAAATCCTAAACCCTAAACCCTAACTCTACACCCTAAACCCTAAACCCAAACCCTAAAGCCTCAACCCTAAACCCTAAACCCCACAAAGAAGGGATGCATCGCGCCGTGGGTTCAGGCTCTCGCTGGAGCCGATCATCTGGTGTGGACTCTTCAGCATTGACAAGGCCTGGGACTCTCTCCTTGCTATGAATGGGAATCTTTTAAGGGTTTAGGGTTTAGGGTTTAGGGTTTAGGGTTTAGGGTTTAGGGTTTAGGGTTTAGGGTTTAGGGGAATGGGCTATTTGTAAAATGAGAATCCCATCTGTTCTATTGTTTTTTAGAGCTTCTCGTTTTCTTAGCGTGTCTCCAACAGAGTAACATTCTGTTTCTACATAATGCTACCATTTGACAAGGCCTGGGAATCCCGCTTGGGGCTTTAGGGTTTCGGGCTCAGGTTTTTCGGGCTTGGGGACATTTTGTGGGGTGTTTGGGCGAAGGGTTTAAAGCCCTAAACCCTAAACCCTAAACCCTAAACCCTAAACCCTAAACCCTAAACCCTAAACCCTAAACCCTAAACCCTAAACCCTAAACCCTAAACCCTAAACCCTAAACCCTAAACCCTAAACCCTAAACCCTAAACCTAACCCTAAACCCTAAACCCTAAACCCTAAACCCTAAACCCTAAACCCTAAACCCTAAACCCTAAACCCTAAACCCTAAACCCTAAACCCTAAACCCTAACCCTAAGCCCTAAACCCTAAACCCTGAACCCTAAACCCTGAACCCTAAACCCTAAACCCTAAACCCTGAACCCTAAACCCTAAACACTAAACCCTAAACCCTACACCCTAAGCCCTAGGGGTATGTTGAATATTTCTAAGAGCCTAACAACTCTGATGGCAGGCTCCGGCGGTGAACGATGGAACCGAGGTGGGAAGGGAGATGCAGATTGGTATAGATTCTGGAGTTTGGGGTTTAGGGTTTAGGGTTTAGGGCCATTTGCTATAGCTCAGGAGAGGATACTTGGAGGTTCATGGGACTTAATAACAACTTATAACTGGGCTTATAACCCTACTTATAGTTGGGCTAACCCCCATAAGGCCCTTTAGGGGTATTATAAGTGGGGTTATAAGTACAGTTATGATTGGTTAGTAAGTACCATGAACCTTCAAGTAGGCGAGACATTCTTGAGGCGTTCGACTCTTCCGGTCTCCAGGCTTTTTTCTTCAATGTTTGGCCAAAGTCGGGTTTGGCTTCAGTGTAATGGCCCAGGTTTTTCCGAAACGTGACAAATTCTAAGCCCTAAGCCCTGCGCCCTAGAACCCTGAACCCTGAACCTAAACCCTAAACCCTCAATCCTCAACCCTAAACCCTAAACCCTAAACCCCAAACCCTAAACCCTAAACCCTAAACCCTAAATAGAGTAAAGTCTGTTGCAGAAATTGGCGGGTTGTAACGGAAACTGCCGGCTTGAAACCGTTACAGAAACCTTGCCGGGGCGTAACAGTATCCAACGCGGGTTCTTTGTTTCAGGATTCAGGGGTTAGGGTTTAGGGTCTAGGCTTCAGGGTTTAGGGTTTAGGGTTTAGGGTTTAGGGTTTAGGGTTTAGGGTTTAGGGTTGGTTTAGGTTTAGATCTTAGGGTTGGTTTCCGTTACACCTGCGTCTGCTTGCAGGCTTGCGGGCGTGATTTCCGTTACAATTTTTCTTGGTTTCCGTTTCGGTTTTCGGTTTAAATTTCCGTTGCATTCCCTTTGGTTTCCGTTAACCCTAAACCCTAAACCCTAAACCCTAAACCCTAAACCCTAAACCCTAAACCCTAAACCCTAAACCCTAAACCCTAAGCCCTAAGCCCTAAACCCTAAACCCTAAACCCAAAACCCTAAATACAGCTCGGGGGAGTGAGGCAGCTGCTGCCAGAGTTGCGCTCCTCCCAGCTGTGCCCTTCTGAACCGTCACTTTAAGGTGGGTTTAGGGTTTAGGGTTTAGGGTTTAGGGTTTAGGGTTTAGGGTTTAGGGTTTACGGTTTAGGGTTTAGGGTTTAGGGCTATTTAGGGTTTCGGGTTTAGGGTTTAGGGTTGTTTAGGGTTTCGGGTTTAGGGTTTAGGGTTTCGGGTTTAGGGTTTAGGGTTTGGGGTGTAGGGTTTAGGCAGTGTTTAGGGCGAAGGGTTGGGCAGGGTATATAGGAACATTCTAACTGCAGCACTTGGAGGTTCATGGTACTTACTAACCAATTATAACTGTACTTATAACCCCACTTATAATACCCCTAAAGGGTCTTATAGGGGTTATCCCAATTATGAGTAGGGTTTTAAGCCCAGTTATAAGTGGTTAGTAAGTACCATGAACCTTCAAGCAGGAGCTGCATCTCTTCACCGGACGTTGTCAAGGTGTCGAGCTGGACGCATGGCTGTTTCAGACTAGTTGGGACAGTCGCCTCTCATGTCACCCTAAGTCCCAACAGCACGAAGCCCTGAATCCTAAACCTTTAAACCCTAAACGAGATCTCAAACATCCCAGCTTAGCCACACACTTAGCTCCGCTCAGACATTTGCAAATGTGCTTCAACTACTGACTCAAAATCCCAGGATTCGTGTGTATCGTGGAGGAGAGCATACTTGGAGGTTCATGGTACTTCCTAAAGAATTATAACTGTACTTATAACCCTACTTATAATACCCCTAAACGGCCTTATAGGGGTTATCCCAATTTTGAGTAGGGTTATAAGCCCAGTTATAAGTGGTGATTAAGTCCCATGAACCTCCAAGTAGCGCCAACAATCAAACTCGCGGCGCGGATTTGGCCGCGCTAAATCCTGCATTTCTTCGTGACTGTGCTCAGGATTTTACGACAGTTGCTCCATCTCACCTGCGCGATTTCGGATTTTTTTTTTCATTTCTGCAGTTTTTTCCCAAGAAATGCAAAGTATTCTTCCTCATAAGAGTATTATGGGGACCACTATGCTTCATGTTTTGGGTTCTTAAGGAAATTTTGGGGTTTAGGGTTTAGGGTTTAGGGTTTAAGGTTTAGGGTTTAGGGTTTAGGGTTTAGGGTTTAGGGTGTGTATGCTCTGTATGTCCGCTTCCCTGTTTTTTTTTGTGCACATCTCGCAGCCTCCTCTTGGCTTTCGGCGTAGGGCTCTTTGGATTATTTCATGGTTTCGGTCAGTTTTTATCCTTTTGTTTTTCGTTTCGAGTTCATGGTTTTGAGGGTTATGCTTCTCACTTTCGTCGTTTTTCGCAGGGTGTTGGGTGTCTTTGTCGTGGGTTGATCGGCTTGTGCTTTTCAACACGGCCTTGAAGTTTCCGTTATATATATACATATATTTGTATATGTATATATATATATATATATATATTTTTTTTTTTTTTTTTTCTGTTTTTTTTTGTGTGTGTGTGTGGGTGGGTGGGTGGGGGTGGTTGGGGGGCGGAAACGAATACGCGAGTAAGGAGACTGAACACTTTTGATGATGTCTTTTGGCGTTTGGCTTGAGGAAAAGTGTGATGAGGTTCCTCTTCTTTTTTTCCTAGTCTATTCTTCATTCTTCTTCTTCTTATTATCATTATCTAATACGAATAGTTACTGCCAGCTGCTGGCGGCTGCTGGCAACCCAACACCCCATACCCTACCAAACCCTACTAAAGCCTACTAAACCCTGCTAAAATCCACTAACACCTACTTGCACCTACTAAACCCTACTAAAACCTGCTAAAACCTACTAAACCCGAAGCACTGAACCTTAAACTACTAAACCCTAGGGCCTAAGCCCTAAGCCCTAAGCCCTAAGCCCTAAACCCTAAACCCGAAACCCGAAACCCCAAACCCTAACATTCAGCTGGTGCTTCTGCCCAGGAAGCCTACACTGGCCTGAGCTGCGTGGGGATCTTGTTCCTTGCGCGGATCATCCAATCCGAGCTATTGACGAAGCAAGGAAGCGTCCATCATAGAAAGCTGGGGTTTAGGGTTTAGGGTTTAAGATGTTCTCCCTTCTACGAGCAGTCCTTATGGGGACAGTCTGCGGCGTGTGGCATGTACACAGGGAAGCACTTGCAGCGTCTCGTTGTTGAGGCTGCGCGCTGCTTTCTTTCTACTTGGAGGTTCATGGTACTTCTTAACCAATTATTACTGTACTTATATCTGTATTTATAACCATATTGGGGCACTTAAGGGGCTTATAAGTGGGTTATAAGTACAGCTATGATGGGTTGATAAGTACCACGAACCTCCAAGTAAACTCTCCTCAGGTTGTTGAGGTAGGCGAGGCCATCTGTTTGGCAGGAGGGTGTTCCCCTTTAGACTAAACCCCAAACCCTACCAGACCCTACCAAACCCTACTAAACCCGAACAAACCTTACCAAACCCTACCAAACCCTACCAAACCCTACGAATATGTCTGAGAGAGGGGCAGAGGAGTGGGTGGACAATTAAGCATGCCAAAGCCATCCTTCCCAACCCCCATTTTCTGGGCTCGAGAATGAGGAGCCACGCACCTCGCTGGGGGTGAGGTTTATTGGGCTGCACGTGCCCTGTTGGGCTTGCGTGACTGGGGGCGATTGCTTATGCACCAACCCCTCCCTCTTCTGACCCAAACCATTTTCCCGAGCCGAAAGCCTGCGTTTGGACAGAAGCTAAACTCACCCGTTTGAATATACACCAAGTTTTCCTACCTGACTTTGGTTCGCAGCTGCAGGCAAGTTCTCATAGAGGAATACTCGGCACGCATAACATCTTGAAACGGGGCGCAAGGACCTCGTGTGTTAAGCTTTGCCGGCGCCCTCACGTCTCCACCTAGGTCCCATGGGGGAGGGGTGTGAGGAGGAGGCCTTGAGGGCCGCGCCGCTGAAGCCTGGCTCTCAGCTTCTCTGTGCCTGTATGCTTGGGCCTTATGAAACGTTGGCAGATAGCTTCTAACCTCGAGTGTCTGACCACCGCCGTGTGGCTCTCAGCACTGCCGTGGTGTCCTGGCTTATGCCTTCGGTAGGTCTCTTAATTCAGGTCATCGAAGACCTGGAGATATTGACAACCAAGTTTTGAGTCTCAGCACTTCTGCGCCTTGCCTCATTTTTTGCTTTTAAAACGCACGCCTAGGCCACCACAGCTTTGACCTCGCTGGCCGCCTGGCTCTCGGCTTTAGCTGTTTCGAGTTTAGTCGTCTGACTCGGCAGCTGCTCTATTTTTTTGACCTTTCGTTCATTTGATTTGAGGCCGCTCGCCACACAACTGAGCCGAAAGCTGGCTCTCGGTAGTCTCCGTCGCAAAACTTGAGCCGCTTTAGCGACCGCCTTCACTCCCGAGGCTTCGCCCAAGAAAAAGGCACAGCTTCCTGTGCTCGTAGTTTTTTCTTTTCGCTTGCAGTCTGCGCCGATGGAAAAGACAGAGCTGAAAGTCCTGTTCTCAGGTAGGAGGAGCTGGCGTTGGAGGAGCTGGCAGATCAGGAGGAGGTCGGAGGCTATAAAAAGAGAGAGAGAGAGAGAGAGAGAGAGAGAGAGAGAGAGAGAGAGAGAGAGAGAGAGAGAGAGAGAGAGAGAGAGAGAGAGAGAAGGAGAG